GCTACGCCCCTGTAAGTATGTGCTTCAGTTCTCTTCAAGTTTTGAAAACATAATTATCGGTATATACGGATGGGTAATTAAAATACTGGTTAATTACTGTCATTTTCATTGAGCAAGATACAATGGCATTATTGTTAGTATTCATGCTAAACATTACGTCATTATTCATCTCTGATGATCTTATGAGGCACCGTTAACACTTGTTATACGGAGATCAAAATTCCTATGACACCCGTCGCTAAAGACGCGCTGACGTCATCAGAATGGACTCGTCTGTGTCGAGTTCGTCAGGCGTGTAATGTCAGGATGAAAATGATCGTTCAACCATTACTTCATGCAGTAGAAAGGGAAACCGGTTTAGAGGTTGAGATCGCGAATGTGGGACACGTAGCATGCAAGGAGAGTGATCAAAATATACAGCACAGGAGCATACAGGTATTAAAAACGAAGTTATAGTTAGTTATTTACCAATCATGATGATAGTAACTTTATGTTGTAAGACGTAGGTACCCGTCCCCCTTCTCATAAAATAATAGTTAATACTATTACTCATACATAGTCTACACAGTCCAAGGGACTAGTAATAGTATATCGAAGACGGAAAGAGACAAGTTGATCAAATGGTCAGATCAACACTGCGGACACATTGATCAAATTAATAACAATAAAACAACAGCAGGAACGAAGCAAGATTACGCAGAACAAAACAAAACAAACGACTTTTTCACATATGTAGGCATAGAGAAATTATCAGAGTAGATGCATTATTATTATACCCATAATGAAGGTACTCATATGTACAGGAACTTGAGGAAGGACACACGTACTAGGTTTGTGTACACGTCACAAAAATAAATAAATTATAAACAGAGGTCCCAAGTTGGGAAAGTACAAGAAATGGAGCCAGCAATCTAAGAAAGGGAGCCAGCATTGGCCCAGCAATCCAAGAAAGGGAGCCAGCATTGGCCCAGCAATCCAAGAAAGGGAGCCAGGTCCATCGCCGTTTTTTCGCAGTGCGCAAAAACAGGAAAAAAGTTGTGGCGGGCTGCGATATGTGTTTGTCGCGGCATGCCACCATTTTTTATAAAGTGGTATGCATGTAAAATAATCGTTTTATCGCTTTTTACTGTTTGCTGGAATCAAAGTACATCAACAACAATGGCAAATTTAGTAATTTACTGTGTAAAAATTCATATGGCTGAAAAATGTTACGACCGGGAGCTTCTGACCTCATTCCGGGGCACCGGGAGCAGAGTGTCATACCGGGAGTCTCCCGGTGAGACCGGGAGACTTGGGACGTCTGTTATAAATATATAATTTATAGATTATATAGATGATAGATATAAATTATATAATAATATAAATAAACAAATCAGTGAAAAGGATAGTTTACTGAAAACACAATAAACTGAGAACACTGAGAAGCTAAACTTAAAGGGATCCTGCATCTTCCCTGAGAGCAGAGTAATCGTAGATTCATTCTCCGTCTTCGATATAATATATAGTCAGAATGAGTAATTTACTGCTGTCTTAGTAATCTTTGCTGTGTGGTGAGTACGTACGTGTACTGATACAATAACTATATTAACATATCAATGCAGGAATGAAGTTACAAGTTTAGTTATGATATTCATTTTCTAATGAAAAGTTGTGTGGGTTTTTTTCTTTAGACACTGGCCACAAAGAAACATGGCTGTGACTGGTGCTATTCAACTCCTGTCTGTTTTTGCAGTGTTCTTCCAAGGTGGGTATACAATCAGAGCTCCCTCTGGATGTTTTAAAAGTTTGAGCCAAGATTTGAGCCACCAAAGTTATTTGTTAGACACCAATGAAAAACTATAGCAACTTTATCGTATGTGCTGTAGGCCTATGGGAAAAGAGGTGTACCAAAACCTTTTTGAATAGAGTAACGAAGTAAAAATAAAATAATGTAGTTTAGTCTACACGAAACTAGGTTGTTGCACCGTTGCACAGTACTTGCACCAAAGGACTAGGCTACTCTATTTGTTGGTAGTTACACGACACTGAAATTAGACGATTTCGTTATTCAATCGTAATTTCGTGAGCAGTTAAATCATTCGCCATTTGTAATCGCCACTTAAGCCCGTCGCACACGTGAGTAATTTTACTCAAGTAAAATGACGCAGCTGTACAATAATTGTGTTTCATCGCATATGGATGAATTCTGAGGTAGCGCTATATACCTGTGCATCGTTTCTTCGTTAACAGGTGTGCTATCACAGGCCAATCAGCCGCCGACGTTGCTAGAGGATATGGACGGCCACAGGGTGGATGAGGTGACACCTGTTGGTAAGTAACAGAATAGACGTACGCCCGACGAGTGAGAAAGTGACAGAGCTTTGCCGGGCGTGACCTCTGACCTCTGGCACGATACACACTGACAGTGCTGAGAGCGGCCGGGAGGGGGGGGGCACGTCTTGATCTTTCCCTAGATTTTTCACCAATTCTGAAGAATGGGAGGCGGTCCCTTTTGCGACAAAAAAAGACGAGAGAATATAATAAGAGTATCTAAATATAAGAAAAATTATATAAATCGTGATGAACATCGTGAATTTATTCACTGCAGTAGATACATCATCAGGATGTAAAAAACGACCATCCAACAGGAAAAACCAAGCTATATATATATATATCAGGGTTTTCCCTAGGATGAAATTCAAACAGGGGGGAGGGGGGGGGAACTAGGGGGGCGTGTTTTTTTACCGTACCACTAATTAATGCGTAAAATCGCCACCACACCATAGACGGTATTTGGGGTTCTTGTATATATAAGATATAGCCGAGTCGGTGTTACGGTGTACAGTTAGTGTTG